TGAAACATCACATTCACATATAAATGTGTTAGTTAAGTTCTATTTCCTGAAACATCATATTCACAATATAAATGTGTTAGTTAAGTTCTATTTCCTGAAACATCATATTCACATATAAATGTGTTAGTTAAGTTCTATTTGTTGAAACATCATATTCACTTATAAATGTGTTAGTTAATTCTAATTGTTGTAACATCATATTCACTTATAAATGTGTTAGTTAAGTTCTATTTGTTGAAACATCATATTCACATATAAATGTGTTAGTTAAGTTCTAATTGCAAACAAACATTAGAATTACCAAAATATAATGATGTTTGTGAGCTGTCACAAAGACATAATTCGTACAAAACTAGAAACAATATATAAGATGAAGTACTTACTGGAATTTTTATATCTGAAGTCGTATACAAAACACCTAAAATTAAAGTTGATAATCCAGATAGATACATCATCTTAAAGTTGATCCAACATTTTTTCTCCAGTTAATCACAAAATTCCATAGCCCATATGTGTCACTTCCCAAATACACAAGATCAGAATGTGTGCAGTGTTTTTTTTAAATAATAAATTATAAATATTTCATCAAACAGTTCTCAACTATACAGAAATAATTCTTCTAATGCACGGATCTATAAAACCTGAGTAAGACTATCAAGTTTTCTACTGGAAAAAACAGACAATATGTGAGTACATGTATTATCTCGTACCAAAGTTTCAAACTGCACATTATAGCATAAGATTTAAGGACAACAAAAGATTTAATCCTTCTAAACTGTGCCATCCACCAAAGTAAATTTAAAAAAAAATTAAATCCAGAATTTACATATTTGTCATGTCTTTACTTAAATTTACTGGATCCATCACATCCATTCAAAAGGCCAACCACCCCCCTTAGAAAAATAAAGCTGTCTTTACTTTAAATAGTCCTACCATTCTCATCATTAATATGAAAAATTATGATACGTTGATGCTATCGATTTAAATTATGATAAGTTACATGCATTACCTGGCATTTATGATAATTAAAAGCCAACTTACCATTACCATTTATTTGTCAAACTCACCAAGTAATTCAAATCCTTTCGTAAAGCAGTAGACATCGCTTTCATAGCCAGCAAAACCCAAGCCGTAATATCATCGGCAAATTTAAGCAACTTGTTAACCATTCCTTTATTAATGTCAATTAAACAGAGAAAAGGCCCTAGCCACGAACCTTTGAGATAACCCGACATTCGACATTAATCAAGTTTGACCAAACTCAATTTATATCAACTCTGCTGTTTTACATCCAGCCATTTTTCTATCCAATAAGAGAAGATAACTTCTTTAAAAAGCCTTTTACGCGACACTTTGTTAAATGCTTTTAATAAAATGGATGGATCGCCCCAGTTCGACATGTGGTTGGTCACTTGTTCAGTACACTAGTCTCATTTGGTATACACGAGTGCAGAAAAAAAAATGTAACATGTTTCACATTGCATTCATAAACATATCATACTATTACTCTATATGTTAGCAAATTTGTTAATAATTTTTCAGTTTTATTTTTTCTATTTTTAATTCTTGTATCACAATTTCATAGTCTTGAATCAAAACTAAAAATATTATTTTTATTGAAAAGTCCAACATTTTTAAATAAATGAACAAGAGTAACATCAGTATAGGTACCGTACATTTTTTAATTTTTGAGGTTTCCATCATTATACATAAAATAACTTAAATACTTTCAAACTTTTTATGTATCAAACGTGCAATAAATAAAGCAACATACACACACACAAATATATACATATGTTTATCTAAAAATCAAAAACATTACAAAGAAACTCAAAAATTAAAATTAATTTTTCCACTTCCAGTTCTTGTTGTCATCATTACAACTAATAACGGATAACGTATGTGACCATAGCAACCAAATGCTTTGGGAACATTCCATCTATCAGACAAGACCCAGATGCTTATGCCATACTATCCAGCATCTCAACTCCTACTGCCTTTCGCTGTCTGCAGCCAGTTGTAGATACAACCTTAAATTAGAAATAAACCACCCTAAATTTTCTACAATGGAAAACTCTCAACCTCCACCCTTTTCATAAGGTGTACAAAAAGGCAAAAATATTGTCATAGTAGAAATAGACCACCCTATGTTTCTACAAGACACCTTTTTATTTAATAAGTACAAATTGATGTTAAACACAACTAAAATCCTTACCTATCCTCCATTTCTCTTCAAAATTTCTTTTAAAAGATCTTTAACAATTTGTAACAATGGTAATTATTTTATGGATAATATTCAATTATTCATAAATAAATTGAAAAATAATGGTTATAAAGATTCTGTATACCAGGGCAGAAAGATCAACTTCAGGTAGCTGGGCTTGTCTCAGCTCACCCAGTTTATACTCAAACATATTTTCAAGGCAAGGTGGGTTGAGAACTATTAAGGTAAGGGTTTATAGTTCTGTTTAACATTATTTTATAATTATTAAATAAAAGGGTGGAGGTTGAAAGTCTTGTAGAAATATAGGGTGGTTTATTTCTACTATAAGGTTGTATCTAAATATTTAGGGTAACTGTCTTCCAACAACAGACTGCAGACAGCAAAAACCAGTGGGATTTGAGAAAATTCTGGGTTCAAGCACTCAACTCCCAACCGGTTCTCCGTAGTTGCTGGCGAGTTTGACATCAGCATCTGGATCTTGTCTGATCCATGGAATATCCCAGATGCATTTGGATGCTATGGTTACAAACATTATCCATTATAAGTTTCAATGATGACAACAAGGATTGGTAATAGAAAGATTTTGATTTTTAAGTCTCTTTGTAATGTTTCTGATTTGTATTAATTTCATCTTTATTGTTTTATAGTGCTGTTTAAATAAATCATTCATTTACAATTAATGTATTCAATAGCATTAGAACTATTTCCTTATACACGTACATACATACCATTATATACGCACATACACACTTTTATACACTTAGTGTTCTTCGTTGTTTCAGTAGATGAACGGGTAACCTCAACTGACCGAATAACCTTATGTTTCTTCATTGTTATGCAAGTCAACGTATTGTTATTCTTTTTTTCCCTCATCCATCCAAAAAAAATCATAGGTTAAGAAATTCTTTAAGTAATGGTATTAGTCATGAGTTAAAAAGGTCATTTAATTTTACTGACAGAATTCATTTTAAAACTTTTCTTGAATATTCAAAATCAATTCACATTATTTATTCATGAAGGAGCTTCTTGTTGGGGAATCACGCTGATGTGTAAAGTTACTCTTCACAATCTCTACCATCTAAATTTATAACATTCTGACCAAAGCAGTTATTATTTTAGTGTGATGAAACATACTGATCAATTATGTTCCTTACAGAAACTACCAGGCTTTATAAAATTCCAGTTTCTTATAGGAAAGGAAACTGGTGTTTCATTATGTTCCATACAGAAACTACCAGGCTTTATCAAATTCCAGTTTCTTATAAAAAAAAGAAAACAGTTTTTTTAGTTATGTTCCTTAAAGAAACTACCAGGCTTTATCACACACCAGTTTCTTATAGGAAAGGAAACAGGTTTTTTAATTATGTTCCTTACAGAAACTATCAGGTTTCACCACATTCCAGTTCCTTATAGGAAAGGAAACAGGTTTTTTTTTAAGTATAAAATCAGTTTTCTTTATTATTAATAATACCTTCACACAATTTACTAAGTTAAGTATAAGATATCCTAATCAGTATGTACATTTGCGTACATATATATATATATATAACAAAAACTGTGGCGAATGGGAGTTGTAAGCATTTCTCTTCCAATGACTACTGACAATTAAACATGAGCACTTCTGCTCTCATGTTCCATAAAATAATTCAACATATTTTTTATAATGCATTGTGAATCCAAAACCACTAATCAGTGATAAGAAAATTACAAGAGCAAAACTCTTGATATAACAGCTAATGATCTACTCGAGCCTAATTGGCTATTTATGAAATAGCACTCGAGGCAGACATGAAAAATACAGATTAATCGAGTTCTTAATTGGTTGTGTTTATTAATGCCTATTAAGTTTAACAAAAGCACTGATGAAACAAAAAATGGATTACACAATAAGTATTTTTTTCCTTAACATATATCAAGGAAAGCAGTACATATCAAACAAGTAGCTTGGGTAATTTTACCCACAGCAACAAATCACCTTATTCAAAAATGACAAAAGGTTAATCTGAATATAAAACTAAACCAAGCTCACACAAAACAGTTAGATGATCACTTCCATAAAGCTATACAACAAATTTATGTTAAATAATTAGTTAAAGTCCTTCATAACTTAACAGCTTGTGGGAAAACCCAACATAATACATAACCTTACAAGTATTAAAAAACAATAGCATGCTAACTTGAATTTTCAATATAAGATAAGCACTGAACAGTTTTTAGGCCCAACTTTATTAGACTTTCAGGAATTTTGAAATGATCGAGGTAGAAAAGAGAAGGCTCTTAACACAGTACCTGCATGTTAAACAATAATATAACAGTCTGAAAAGCTTTGACAATTTGAAGGTAGTGTTGATGTTTCACTAAGTTTTACAGAGGAGAAACAAAAGAAATTTTGTTACATAACGTTTAAGCTTAAAATTTATAGATAAAAGTTCTAAATATTTACTGCTGACATTAATTCTTTTAGGTGAAGTATAATTGCCATATGTTTATAAAGGCAAAATCATGAAAAGTTGACCTAAACATAATCACCATCCACAGTGTTATCTTTATTTTTAATGACATTTACAACATTTATAAGTGCTGTCTATTTTTGTTTTATGTCTGAAAAACATAATGTGTGTCGATTATATTTATAGGTCCTGAATGAAAAAAAGACGTAATTGCTATTACCGTATTCAATATACGATATTGTATCATGTATGTTTCATGATATCTAACGTTCATATTCTTTTCTAAACAAGATAAACTTCCATTACATCGTTTTACGAATTCTTACCTCTTTGATAACCTTGCAACCTGAGACCGGTCCAATCTGTCCGAATAAAGCCATAATTAATTCCTCTGTCACAGCCGGGTTTAGATTCCCCACGTATCTATGTTTTGAAAATAAATCGACACGTTGAACGTCACATGTACGACAGGAAATATTTAAGCATGGGCAGAACACAAACCGGCAAATCACTGACATCGAGAATAAACAAAGCATACTAATATCACGAAATAAAGAATAAATTAATATACTTACAAGGTACGTAGCTGACTTTCATAAACCTGCTCCTGAAAGGCAGAAAACATTTTCAAAACTATATTTTAAAATATTTATTTTTTTTAATATTTACTGATCACATACACCTCGCATGACATTATGGCGTCTGTACACACAGCCCACGCTAGAACGCAGGCGCAAAGAAGAGACCTCTCTCGGAAACTTCTCCCGCCAAAATTCGATCTTTTAAACAGAATTAATGCTAGTGGCCTAGTGTAACAAGAACAATCTACAATATCCGAGGTTGTTTGGTTTTGCACACATGTTTTAACTTTATTTTATTTTTCAGTGCATATAATGTCTCTGTATATCCAATAAAACAGTTTTCTTTGATATTCTATTTAGTAAATTTTGTTCCAAAAAGTCAGTAATGTAACATGATTCTTATTATTAAAAAATAAATAATTAAAGTATCAAACTAGGATAGATTCCTGCTTTACTCCAAGTTTATTCCTTCATTCTGTAAAACAGGATAATTACATTAAAAAATAATAATCTTTTGCGTATCTAACACGTAAAATATTTAGCAACTGGCTTACTGAGAAATCATTTTATTCCAGTCCAGATGTGTTACAGAGAAATTGGTTTCTTAAAATGAAAAATGTCTTCTGCATTTTGAATGTTTTTGTTGTTGTTGCGAGCATTTGTTGAAGTAAGTTGTTTCAGCTTTAACGAGCACAAAAGATAAACTTAGCATGATTTTAGCGTACCTTCAAATATTTATAGATTTTCTTAAAATCAAGTCTGAGATAATGTTTTGATTTTGCTTTCTGGCGAACAATTATTTATTTCAACACTCAAATGTGTCGTAAGCCCCTACATTCAGAAAGTTGTACTATTGAAATTTCATAAATCACTGAATATACATATCTAATTTATATACTCTTTTCTTTCGTTCCTTAGAAGAACATCAAGATATAATGACCTTTATTAAATAAAGGTCATTTGAACTACGTAAGAGATTTAACGACTCTAAATAATTCTTTTAAGCGATCTCATTCAGAGGAGTTCGTGTGAAACATTTGACAAAGTAAATCATTGATGTTTACTGCTAATGAAATATGTCGTCGTTTCTGAAATTCAGCTATAAATATAATTGTAAGGATCATTAATGACGTGACGTTTATAACTTACTGTTTTTTTATATATTTTAAAATATAAAAAGGGATAATTGTGAACTCTCTTTAAGAATCAATTATTTCGTTAAGTGTTTAATAAATGTGTTTTATAAAACTCTACAAACACCCATGTATGAAATCTGGATACTTAGGTTTTAAATCCTCTACATACGGGTTTCCTTTTTCCATTTAATAATTCTTATATGCATAGGTGAAATTTTGTATTATTTAAAGATTTTGGTCAATTATCGTTGACAGATGATTAGATCTACGTTTCAGAAATCATTCAAGTGAAATGCTATCGTCAAACAAGTTCCACTGACTGTTAGCATTTATATTTATTTATTCTAGCCACAGGTTTGTGTTTTTAGAACATAAAGTAGTAGAGGAAATACACAAAATATGATTGCCAATGGCAACTGACTTATGTTTAGAGAGTCAACTAAGAAGAGTAACAGTATTGTGTATCAATTATGTCACGTGCAGATTCAAGAGGGTACTCAGTAAAAAAATAAGAGTACTGTGTATTAACAACGTAAGATGAAGATTTAGAGAGGTACTCATATCGTTGTCACGACGTGACAGAAAATGCCACTTTTTGTGTGTGTTTAGTTCTTTCACTTCTGGGTAATATTTTACATTATTGTGGTTAGTAATACCTTTCTAAACATAAGGAATCCTACTGTGTCTGTTTGCCAGGAGGATCTTTCTACGATGTTCTTGAGTCACTGAATAATTAGTTTTAAACGTGTATCTTTTGCTTGAGCAAATTCCAGTTGAATGTTGAAATAAATAAGTTTTTAGTAATCGCTTTTGGATGCCAAATCTTGGACTTCTCTTTGCTGTACTTTAAGTTGGTAGTCTTTTCTATCCTGTACTTGTTCTCACAGTGTTTACTCTCTTCAAGAACACGTGACATTTCGGGATTTCAACGGTTCTGTTCATGGTGATGCTCAATGTTAAAGTTGTACTCCTGGAGTTTCTTGTTATCGGGCCTTCTGGGTTGTAAAACTTCGCCATCTCTTTTTGAATTGTACAATACCTCTTGTTATGAGTATTACACTTCTTGATGGTACAATGACCACTCTCCTTTTTGTCAAGGAAAGGTCGACGTCTGGTGTATTAATTATCATTTGAAGATAGCCTAGCCTCACATAAATGTCTCTGCATGAAATCGGTTTCGAATTTGCACTCATTTTCCATGTTCATTATTTACACATCATGAGGCCTAAATAACTCATTTTTCGTGTTAATTATTAACACATTATGAGGCCTAAAGAAATTTCCTAGAGTCAATTTCCGCTTTTCATTATCAAATAGGATCGAACTATTGTAGCTGTAGAATAAGTGTTGATCAACATACCATAAGGAATCTCATGAATAAACTAGTGGACACGTAGACTGATGTCCTTAAACAATGAATTTCCTATCTCATTTGAGGCAGATGGGGTATTCTTAGCTGAACTTTGTTCCATGAATCGAGCTAATTTTTGTATCCTAGTGTCTGGTTAACATTTTGTTGTTTCTTCACTCTGGTTGGATTAGAAGACTCATTCTTGGGGTATTGTCTCATTGGTGTCTTAACAGCTGTTGATTCCTCACAATCTCAGTTTTGATGGTTAGGTTTTCTACATCTAAAACAATACCCTCTTTCTGGTATCATTTGGGAAACATTCTTGTTTCCTACAAACTTTTGTCTACATTTCCTGGCAATATTCCTTTCAAGTTACACTTAAAACATTTACTGTCTTGTGGTGGTTTATTCTTTCTATTCTGTGTAACTAATTGTTTAACTAATCCTTTTTAATTCTTCTAAACTATTGTTATTGTGAGTTGATGTTTTAATATTTTCTCGATCTGACGATTCCATGGATTCAAGATGGTGTTTTTAGTTGTTTATCTGCAACCTTGATGACTTCCAGTTCCATTAACTACAGCAGAGTTTCCTTCACGGATGTATACCTACTTTGCTTAAGCCTAGTCCTAACGTCATCCTATACTGTGATGTTTATAAACTGGTAATGTGCCATTAAATCTATCATTTCACGAGGAGCATCCTGGTAAGATAATTGGAGAAGCCTTTCCAAATTTTCTTCGTGTTTGACTAAGGCCCCTTTTTCCTTTGTACCTTGTTCTAGAACTTTGCTCTGAATACTTTTTTTCTGGTGCAACATTGAACATATTGGACAAAGCAGCTACCAATGCCTGATAGTTGTTACTGCTCTCCATTGGAATGATACTTAATGTTATCAAAGTTTGTTTAAATGGACAGCAAGATGAGTAGTTTGTAGTTCATTATTCCACACATTCTTTGTGGAAATGATTTCAAACTGAGTCTGGTATGACTCCCATAGTACCTTCCCATCATTGTCTGTTGGTTTCTCAGTTGGTGGATATTAAACTGGCCTGCTACATTTCGGACCTAGATTTGGTAGTGTTATGGCTGGAGTAGTCCAGAAAGGTCCATCAGTAGCAGAGAGTACAGCAGTAGAGGTAATTGGTGTGGGCCAAATAAGTTCTCCTCTTCCATATTTTGTAACAGATGGCATTCCAGGCTGAAAGATTTGAGCCAATGCAGAAAGTGGGGTGGCTGGTTTAATCTTTGTATTTAATAATTAATTTTCCAGGTGATTTATTCTGTTATTGATGTTCTTTTCTACCTCAATGATGTCTTTCTTTACTTCGCCAATTCTGTCATTACAACCTGTCTCTACTTCTTTGACGTCCTTCTGCATTTATTCAAACTCGCTGTTGTAATTTCTCTCTACACCTCCAATAACTTCATCTATATTTGTCTCCAGTTGGACTTATTTTTCATTTTAATTCTTCTGTAAATAATATGTCCCTATTTTAACCCCCTCTCTTAAGTTCCTGCCATGTTCTTCTTGCTCTACGTTTAATTTTCTGTCCCTTTCTTCTTGTTCTTTTTTAAAGGTTCTATATCTTTCTGTTTGTTCTTCTTTCCATAGTTTTGTTGTGTCTAGCAGGTCTTTACCCTTGTTTTCATGACCTTTATTTAATTTCTTATCATATTCTTTTTTTGTCTTCTTCAATGAAAGTTGAAGTTTAGTCAGTTCTACTTTATTTTCATCACGATAATACCACTTCTGACAGCTGTTTTGTAATATTGCTCTTTCGTTAATGGGTTCTTTAAAATTATCTAATGAAAACAATTCAACGTCTATTTTATTTCCTCCTTTAACACTTTTACGAGCTTGAACACTGTGGTAATTTTTGGGCCACATTTACAAATGACCACTGCACTACACTAATGTAAAGATGACACATCCAAATATTCAACTAAAAACAAAATTACACTGACTGATCCACTCCACAGGCTAGAATCAAATCATTATCTTCTAAACTAACTTTAAACATTTCTACAATCTTCCCAACTATCTTGTATTTATAAGCTACCCTCGAATGTGCTAGAAAATTTGATGTCAAGTCTAGAATATTCCAAAGTTACTCCTGCAAACTTACTTGACCTTAACGTCAAGCGCCCTCTAGCTAAAATCCTGATTAAAACATTGAAAATATAGTTTACAAGAATAGGAATGTTTATTTTTATTTATTAAGACAGCCTCGGGAAATGTAAACGCTCGTATTGATCTCCTTCTGCTCTTGCGCCTATATGTGGCTTTCATTATGATCGATTTTAGCGTGGTGATCTATCTATCAATGTCCTCAGAAAAGGGGAAAATAGCTTCAATTTCGTTTAGAAATTTTCGATAAATCCAAACACTCTTTTGTTGTTACTGTTTGAATACGTCTTTCATACGGTACACAACAATAGGTCTCATCAGTATAGAAAACCGATATGACTATCGATAAACAAAGGAATTTGTTTTTTCAGAGAGTAAATTAGACCCGATCTTCGATGATGCTAAAAAAATCTCACTATTATAAGTAAAACGATCCACTAGATATCAGTAAATTATCTCCGTTTTGGAGATCTATACTTGTAAATAAAATATGCTGGTT